GTGTGTGTGTGTGTGTGTGTGTGTGTGTGTGTGTGTGTGTGTGTGTGTGTGTGTGTGTGTGTGTGTGTGTGTGTGTGTGTGTGTGTGTGTGTGTGTGTGTGTGTGTGTGTGTGTGTGTGCGTGTGTGTTTTTAAAGTGTCCTTGTACATGCAAAGCACGCATGCATACACAGTACACAAGCACACAAGCACACAGTCACAACACACCACATGCCCCATACACCCCAGAACGCACCTTGATGTACGACTTGCAGCAGGCGCTGCAGACGTTGCAGCCCTTGCTCGGGTCGCACTGGTTGGAGCCGGGCTTGCCGCCAGAGGTGATGTTGTACACTGCGTTGACAACCGGGTACGACTTGTCGACGAACACGTCCATGCTCGCGTCAAAGGCAAACACACCTGTGCGCACACGACATGAAGCGACGGAGTGAGATGGGCATTCAAGGTACCGCCACAAAAATGCACGCACACACATAGACACACACACATAGACACACACACACATACACGCATACACACATACACACACAAACACAAACAAACACACAAGTATACACAAACACAAACAAACACACAAGTATACACACACAAACCAAAACAAACCAAAACAAAGCAAGAGCACACGCGTGCGCGGACCTGCGATGCCCTGCTTCTTCGCGTAGTTAGTGATGGCGGAGAGGGAGCGGATGGAGTTCCAGCTGACGTAACCGGGCGTGGCATTGCGCAAGTCCTCGCCAGCACGCGAGCCGTCCTTGATGTAGCCAATGTCGCTCTGCGTGGCCGGGTCGAAGAAGTTTTGCTCGGGGTCCGTCTCGTCAATCAGCGCAACAATCTCGCTGTAGATGAGCAAGCCGCACAGGCGCGCGCGGGCACCGGGCCACGCACCAAACGTCGGGTTGAAGGGCCCGTAGCACGCGTGCGACAGCGCAGCAGGCACGCCAAAGCGCTTCCAGTTGCTCTGGTTGGGGATATACCACGAGTGGCCGTAGAAGGTGAGGCCAAGCACAAGCTTGTCTGCGGGGGCGCCCTTGTCAAGGTAGCCCTGCACGGTGTAGTTGACGCTCCAGAAGGACGAGGGGAAGGGCGGATCGTGCTTGGGGATCTGGCCCTCCTTCACGGCATACAGCGGCTGGTTCGGCGCAGTGAAGTTGGCAAAGCACGGCGCATCCCCGCACATCTCGGGCAGGTCCGACACAGAGTAGTCGTACGCCATGAGGTGCCAGTAATCAATCTGCTCCGAGACGGCCTTGATGTCGATCGATTCCATCTTCTGCAGGTCTGCCTGCGTGGCAAGGGTGATCATCTTGTCCTTGCCATATGCGCTGCGTATCTCCGTGACGAGCGTGAGCAGGTTCTGGCCGTCGTCGGGGCACTTGCCGCCGACGTCGTACAGGTTGTGGAAGCTCTTGTTGGAGAGCTTGATGTGGTCCGAGCGCGGGCCGGAGCACCAGAACTCCCAGTCCACGTCGATGCCGTCAAAGTTGTACCTGCAAAGCAGATGGTGATGATGGTGATGGTCGTTGTGTGTGTGTGTGTGTGTGTGTGTGTGTGTGTGTGTGTGTGTATGAGTTGGAAACGAGCGTGTGCGGCGACGGTGATGCTGCAAGATAACGCTTCTTCTTGACAAGATGCAGTGCAGTGTCTTCCGAGATAAACAATACGCAGCAGTGCACAGTGACGACTACACAACACGAACACACACCCACACACCCACGCACGCACAGACACCCACGCATGCACACACTCACCCACACACCCACACAACACACACACGCATCCATGCACAGACAAACACACAGCACACACGCACTCACTTGTCCATAAACTCCTGGGTGGACTTGATGAACGCTGTGCGGCTCTCCTTGGAGGCGACCATCTCCGAGAAGATGCTGGAGGGGAAGTTCCATCCACCAACCGAGAGGAGGATCTTCAGGTCCGGGTTGTCGTTCTTGAAGGCGACCACCTGCTCGTAGAACTGGGGGTCGGCCGGCTCGGGAGACACGAGTGTGAAGTTGTTCGCCGTGCAGGGGCTGGCACCCATGGGGCACTCGGGAGCATCGCGCGTGCCGTTGGAGTACATGGCGCAGGTGCCGTTGGAGTACTGGCACTGGCCAATCCAGTCGTACACCGTGTCGCCCTTGCAACCATCACAGCCGCCTGCCGCAGTGTATGTGTGTGTTGTTGTTGTTGTTGTTGCATTGTTGGGTGAGCAAAGGCAGCAGGGTAAAACGCATGTCAAGCGGAATGATGTGTGGGATGTTGCCATACGTGTGCGTGTGTGTGTGCATTTTGATGGCATGTACAGGCAGCGTTCTCGCCAAAGCACAGGTTCAGAGCACCGCACACACATACGGACACACGCCAAGAATGACTCACCGTTCATCCAGGCGAAAGCGTAGACAATGTAGTCAAACTTGTCCGCCACTGGAGCGAGGTTCTTGGGGGTGTACGCGTAGTTGCCCAGGCGATACTGAGCCCAGCTGTTGGTGTTTGGGAAAGGAAAGCAGGAACAGAATGGTGAGTCAAGAGTGAGCAAAACTCAAGACAAAACCATTGAGGCCAACAGGAAAGAGTTCAAGCGTCCTGTCTTCCTGCGTCCATGAATTGTGTTGTGATTTGTGGTTTGCAGTGTGTTCTCTTTCCCGCACAACGTGTTGTGTGCGTGTGTGTGTTTGCTTCAACACGTACTTTGCAAAGTAGTTGCCAAAGACCATGGCATGTGCGCTCCAGGCCGTGCAGGCCAGGATCACGCACACCAGCAGTGTTGCGTGCATGATGACGGCTGGTGGGTTGATGCTGTCGTGCTGTTGTGCGTGGCGTGGACGATGTGCGCTACGCGTGTGTGTTGTTGTGCAAACAAAACAAAAACTGGAAAAGCAGTGGCGTGCTTTGCTGCGTGCTTTGCTGCGTGTGTGTGTGGGAAAAAAGGCAGCGGGAAAAAAGTGCAAGCAAAGGCAGATTTGCCTTTGGCGCAAACTGGAGCGACACCTTCAGCCAAAGGCAATTTTGCCCTGAGTCATCAACAACCACGATGTCCAACACAGGTGCAGATGGGTCGCATGCGTGTGGATGTGTGTGTGTGTGATGTGTGTGTGTGTGTGCGTGTGTGTGTGTGTGTGTGTGTGTG